GCTTCACARGTTGCAGAGAGAAGAAATAATGTTATCTCTGTCTCCCTGCAASCCGCTGACAGAGCAGCCTCTTTGGCTTGCTGACTCATTCCTTTTGGGATGCGCTTACCCGTACCCACACACACTTGGCATCTAACCTGGGTGCTGGAGAGGGCACTGGGTGTCACCACCCTGGTGGCTCTTCTCTCTGTGCAGGTCCAGGTCCCATCTGTGGGATCCTCCRGGTCTGGCTGATCCATCTGTGTTGMAAATTGGATGAKGCTGATTGTCACGAGTAGTGTTGGTTACACTTGTGGGGAACTGTGGGGCTATGGGTGTACCCTACCAGAACAAGTCTCCCGTTTAGTGTTTGGGAGGTGTTTGGCGGATTCAGGGTAACTCTTGTGGGATTTGTGACCTGCCAAACAGCTCAGTCTGTGTTGCCCCATGTGCTGTTGGCTTAGGTTTGTCTTTCTCCCCCAGCATCCCTATCTATGCCTTCCTGCTCCACTTTGTTCACGGCAGTTTTCTGAGGAAAACGGTCTTGACAGGTCACTGGTGCTGTGCTTGTGAAGCAGACAGGGTGCTTGATTCTGCACACTCAGCAAGATGTTACTTCCCTTGCCTTTCCTTGGAGAGCAGACAGCCTGGCAGAGCTGTGCTGCAGCAGCTGCTGCCATGGGCTGAGAGCTCCAACCCATCCATCGGTGCTGCTGCTCTTTACCTGCAGTTCTCAGGCACCCATGGGTGGCAGCTCCAAGGGATCCATCGGTGCTGCTGCTCTTTCCTGCAGTTCTCAGTCACCCATGGGTGGCAGCTCCAGGGGATCCATCGGTGCTGCTGCTCTTTCCTGCAGTTCTCAGGCACCCATGGGTGGCAGCTCCACGGGATCCATTGGTGCTGCTGCTCTTTAGCTGCAGTTCTCAGGCACCCATGGGTGGCAGCTCCAAGGGATCCATCGGTGCTGCTGCTGCTCTTTACCTGCAGTTCTCAGGCACCCATGGGTGGCAGCTCCAAGGGATCCATCGGTGCTGCTGCTCTTTACCTGCAGTTCTCAGGCACCCATGGGTGGCAGCTCCAAGGGATCCATCGGTGCTGCTGCTCTCTACCTCCAGTTCTCCCTCCTCCCTGAGCCCTTGACCCGTTCCACACCCCAGCTCGCTGGGTTGCTCTTTAATGTGACTTTCACACGGCTCTGTGTTACTCTGCTTCAGTTACGGAACTGACTCCGTTTCTTTTTCCTTGTGCGGTTCGGAGTTTGCCGGAGTTTCTTCCTGATTGCAAAAGCCGTTGGAAATGGGCAGAATCGTAAAAGCTTATCAGTGAGCAGTAACTCTCCCCTGTGGCTCCCCCGCTCTGTTACGCATTTATTCACTCCAGTGAGTTGTAACTCCGCGCGACATCTCCTGTTGCTACATCAGTGCTTTTTTATTTACACCAAACACCACTTTCCCTCTATCCTGCCCTCAGCCTCCCAAGTTTCCCAGCTCTGGAGCTGTACAACCGGGCGGTGGCAGCACTCCATCTCCCGGGGAGCCGGCAGCCAGCCGCCTGGAGTAGCTCCGCGAACCGTAACTCCGAGGTTACTCACTGCTTTGCACCTCCAGAAGATGCAGTGCAAGTGTTTGGTGCTGCAGCCAGAGACCTGCAGGAAGAATTCATGACGTGATGAGCAAAACAGATGCTGGCAGATGAGCGCAGTSTTTAGGAAGTCCGGGATCCCTGCTAGTACTAAATTGGTCTTGTTCTTTCCGAGTMGTCTGGCAGAATATTTCTGTGAGCTCTATCTGCTGCTGCTTTGCAGGCTGCTGGCTGTGTGTGACTCTTGTTCAAATCCTATTGACACATAACATCAGTTCTAAAAATGTTTGGCACTGTTCTAATCATCGGTCCAGAGAGGCCAATTACTCAAGCAGTTCGTGTTTTTTTTTCATTGGAGCATATTCTGTCAGACCCTGAAAATAGAAGGCAAATATTTTTTTAATTTTTTTTTTTTTTTAGGTTTGTTTCCAAAATATTGCAGCAGCAGTCACGAGGATGTGGATCTAGACAAGAAGTGCCTTAAAGTCCCTTTACCTTACAGCAAGGAGCTGGTAAACCAGGCTTAACTTAAGGCACATCTCCTTTCAGGGGCCCTAAAATAATTTCCATCCTTTCTTCTCTCCACTCCGTGTGTCTCTTCCATGGTGTAGTGGCAGCACGTTGCCTTGCTGCAGTGCTTCACTAGCAGGAGTCTTCCAGTTTTTCCCTGAAGACTCAAGGGAAGATTCTTTTTCTTGTTCACATGACTTTTTTTTTTCCCTTTAATTTCTTCAACTCTCATTTCATGGTATTTGAAAAATTCCAGGGGACTGAAATAATTTCCCTGTGCAAATTGGTAAAGGATGTTTTCCTGCTAGATTTTGGCCCACAGAAATCCTGTGGTAATCTGAGAAGGGCAGAAAACACCAAGTCAAGGGAGGTGGTGCTTGGAGTCTAATCACTAAACTCCTGCGGATTAGAGCCAGGGCACTGTGCCAAAGCGACCCAAGCTCTATTCCTGACCCTTTAAACCCCCCAGCTCCTTTGGATACTGAAAATATCAGCCTTGCTGATGAGTTTTCCAGCCCTCTGGAATAAAAAGCATGGCTGTTCAATGTGATAAACCCATTCTGGGCTGGTAAGGTGGTGTTCCTGGGAGCATGGGGGCCATTCCCACTGGCAGGGTGATGCTTGGCAGGATGCTCTGCTGTCATGGAGAGGTTGAGCAGACATTTCCAAGGGGATGGCACAAGTGTGGAATTAGGAATGTCCCTTCCTTTCCCTTTGTCTGCTCTACCAGACTTTCTTCTCAGTTGCTGCATGCCTGGGCTGATGCTGCCTAGGCTGGAGGATCTGGCCCTGGGACACGGTTTTTAGGCAGGGCTTTGTGACACCCAGGTGTTACACACCTGCACACGTGTGAAATGTGTTCCTCAGGAAATGGAGGTGAATGCCAGGATAAGTACACACTTTCCAGGGGAGTAAAGCACTTGTGGTTTGTGTTTGGTCTGGAAATCCAGTCCCATCTGTTCCAGATGTTTCCGGTTGTGTTTATAGCAAGGCRCTACTGTGCTGCTTCGCAGGAAAAAATAATTTAAAAATATGGGGTTGTGTCTTTACAACCTTTGCAAACAGGCGAGGATATTGTTGCCTTAGAAAAGATGTGTAAATGGTCTTGAATAATAGAAATGAAGAGCTGGAGCTTTCAGGGGAGGCTGCTGTGTGCCCGAGTCTGGCTTGCTGTGCTGTGCTGGCAAGGAGCACGTCCCACCCCTCCACACCAAGCAGCCTCTGCCTGGGAAATGGCACCTTGCCGAGGTCAGGGAAATTTCTGCTTCAAGTGCTCTGGCTCCTGGAATTCAGGTAGAAACAACTGTGTGAAGGAGGAGCTGGGTTTGGACTGGAGCCACCCTTGGGAGTCAGTGCTCACTGACTGTTTCTGGGTATGGTGCTTTATTGTTCACTGCCATCCAATAATCCAAATGACAAATGTGCATTTCCATACGCTTTGGTACTGTGTTTGAATCTGATCTGTTTGTTGTTTTTATCTGTGGCATGTTTGAGACTCATCTTGGGGGTCGCGTTGTGGACTAAGAGTTGAGGATGAGGGCAGCAGCAGGTTAGTAAAGGTGCTTGAGGAGGAAAACTTGGCAGAGCTGGGAGAGTGGCTGCTGAGGCACTGCTTTCATGAAATGGGACTCTGGTATTTCCTTTTGTGGCTGAGTTTTATTTTTTGTTTTCTATTTAGGTAGCCAGGCATTGGCATGCAAGGTAGACACCCTAAGACATTCTGATTTCTTGGTGTTCATCTGTTCAGTGTTTACACTCTCCTGAATTTGAATATTCCATTAAGACAATCTGTAAGTGTTTGCTGCTTCTGCTCTAGGAGGATCTTGAATGGAAGCTATGTGGATGGGAAGAAGTTTTGAAGGCCTTGTCTCATTGAGTTTGCCCCTATTCCACTGAGGGAATATAAGTAGAAGGTGTTGTTTGATGCCTGATTTCTGGTACAAAACCAGGTTAGCAGCTTGGTCTCAGCTGTATTAGCACAGAAAGCTCCCATGGCGTCTGCCCAGCRGTGAGCAGCAAATGTGTACTTAGCCTCTAAGGAGATTATTTAACACAGTTCCAATTTTGTTTATTATTATTATTACTATTTTCTCATTTTTGTATTTGCTTGTCAAGACTGGATTTGCAGATGTACCCTCGGGAAGCAGACAGGGTCTGATTTTTGTGGGGGAAACCCGGCAGCAGGAGTTGGGAGCACTCTGTGGAAGCACAGCGATGGCACAAGCGTGGAATTAGGAATCTCTGCTGTCCACAGAGGTGGAGAGAGCAGGGGAGGGAAAGGAAAGCATCTATAAAACCCTTCCCCAAATGGATGAATGAAYGGGTGACACACATAAATGACTGCTGTGATGATCTGCCTTACTGTAGCTCGGTCTCRGGATAATCCTCATATGTCAGATTTCTGTAAGGCCAACATGTGACACAAAGCCGGGCTCGCAGCAGACAAGTGTGCTGTGCTGGTATTAGGGGCTGGCCGGAGCCCGGGCTGCGCTGGAACGCGCGTGTGTCCGTGTGGGGTGTGCCCTAGGACAGCTTCAGAGGCAAACTGCAACCCATTAACTCCTGCCTATTGCACACACAGCACCCCGAGCCTGTGTGCCTACTTCTTGGAAAAGAGAGAAAGGGAAAAAGAAAACAGGCACAACAAACAGGAAAACCCCCAAAGACTTGTAGCTGGGATTACCTTGCTCACACCTGTCACCACTGATGTCCTCCCAAGGTCAGAATTCGAGCTACGTGAGGCCAGCTTAAAGCAAACGCCATGTGAAAGGAGCTCTATGAAGGAACAGCAGGCACTGGAAGGAGGACAGGAGTGCCCACAGGAACATGAACAACAGCTTGCAAGTTAACCTGCCCAGAACTTGGGCTGGTTCCAACAGCTCRCTCCAGGAGAAGTCTGAGCATTCCTTTTTTCTTTTCTATTACTATAGGATGGAGGACGAGGCAGTCCTGGATAGAGGGGCTTCCTTCCTTAAACATGTATGYGATGAAGAAGAAGTGGAAGGTAAGAGACTTGGRTGGCTGGGGAGGAAGGGTGCCTTCRCTTTGATGTTTGTATATAGGATGAGCACAGTTGGAGGGCAGAGAAACAGGGTGYCTTTGTTTTGCCCAGTAATTCATCCTAAAATTGAGTGAAACATGGGTAGGCTTGGTTGGGGTGGAAGCAACATTTCAGAGAAATCCTCTATTTCCGTGCAGGAATGAATGTTGTCGTGTGCTGCTGGTACACGCTTCCACTTTCTCCAGAGTCCTGTTTGCTGTGTCTTGCATAATGGCTGTGAAACAGCAGAGCTGTTTGCTTTGCTTTCCTCTGACAAGAGTTTTGACAACACTTGCCTATCACTGTTGTACTCGTGAGCATGGAAATATGGAGGCAGGTGGAGAAGCCAGGTGGAAAGGCCAGCAGCATTTGTACCAAGTGTCAGGGTGGACATAGGGTGTAAGTGGACATTTGCTTCGTTTATCCTTAGGGCTTGGAAGGCATAAAGAGAAGGGTTTTACCTTGAAGGAGAATTTAACAGAGAAAGCAGTTTCCTCACTTTATAGGGAAAGAGTAGACTCTTTATCTAACTAAAAGTGTTGTGAAATCCCAAAGGTAAAAGGAATTTTAAGGAGTTTACTTCAAGCTTGTTCCTGGAAAATAATGAAACTGATAGGAATGAATTAATTGCAGTGAATTCTTTTTTYCTCTTTTTCTGAGGATTGGTTGTCTGTGGGCATGATCAACTAGTGGGGAAGAAGGAGAAGAGCCAAGATAGGGTAGGACCTTACCTAGAAGGGAGAGAATTTTGCCATGCAGCACTATCCTTCCCCTCCTGACTTCAGGATATAATTTTATTCCAGCTTCTTTATTTGCAAACAAATGTCTGTGGCTTTTCAGTTGAAAATGTTTTGAAAGGTGTAGGGTTACAGGCCATGTCATTGTCACCGGTAATGGACAGGAAAGGATCCAGCAGTAGGAGAGAAAATAATCTCCAAAAAGAGGAGTTAGAACACTTCCAGCAAACCAAGCCAGTCCTTTCCACGAAAAAGCTTGTGTTTTCTTCCTCTCTATGATGAAGTAATCTGTCCTCAGCCACTATAAATCATCATGTTGGGTTTAATGAGGCTATTTGCTGTATGCAGGGTTGGGTTCATATTAGCCTTTTGCTTGTGGAATAATTGGCACTTTGGCTCAGCAGAAACATTTGAGAAGGGGGAGAGGAAGGGTATTTTTTATGTTTTGTTGTCTTAAATGTCTCCATGTGGTGTTTTGATATGCAGTGGCCACATGTGATGCTCCAGGAATTGAATGTGAGTGGTTGTTGGTGATGAGCGCGGAAGGGTCCTTTTGACTGTCTGCAGGGGATGTGGTTACTGCTTTAAGTAGCATTTGTGGCTGTGGTGTGTTTCTATCCTTTGTTCCAATGGGGATATCCTCATTTGGTGTAGCTGGGCTAACAGACCGATTGCAGCTCATCTGTCTGGGGTAGGAGGAGAAACAAGGATTTCTAATTGTACACGACAGGCCTCTGGAGCTGGAGCTGCTTGGCTGAGCCTCCAGAGAGCCCCGGAGCTGTGCAGCCACTCMTTCCCAATCCCTGCCGTGATTCCTGCCAGGCTCCTGGGAGGGGCCCAGCTAAATCACCCAAGGATCCCAGGCTGTGGCATCTGTCAGGGTCACAGGGCACGTGTGCTGCATGGGTGGATCGCTCAGGGAGCCATGGGACAGCCTGGAATTCCCGGCGTGCCTGGCAAATCTGGGGTATCACTGCAGTGCCAGTGAGCATGAAAGGCTTTGGCACTTTGAAGAGATCTTTCTTGTCTCCATGTTTCCAGTCTCAATGACTCTGCCATGCTCCGTGTGTCCTCAGCTACATCTGACTCTCTGCMGAGATCTGTGCACTTAATGCGTGTGTGTATCCAATGTGCAGTCATGGTCTGTACACTCTGAGTGATTCGGGTTGGAACTGAGCTTAAATCCCATCCAGTTCCAGCCCCTGCTATGGACAGGGACACCTTYCCCTATCCCAGGCTGCTCCAAGCCCAGTCCAGCCTGGCCTTGGACACTGCCAGGGATCCAGGGGCAGCCACAGCTBCTCTGGGCACCCTGTGCCAGGGCCTCCCCACCCTCCCAGGGAAGAATTTCCTCCCCATATCTATGTAAYCCTGCCCTCTGTCAGGTTAWGATCCAGTGGGAGGGCTAAAACATCAGGTTGCTGACCTCTGGCTGCCACCTGGTACAGATGCTTTTAAGTCCCTGTAGATTCCTGCACTTCCAGTGGGGTGTTTTAAAGGAGAGAGCATCTCTCAAGAGACTTGGAGCTGTTAGYTCCAGAGTGTCCTCCTTTACTTCCCCCTTTTCATGCTGTGGTTGTAACTAGCTTTTCTAAAAGGCTTTCAGGGACTGCCTCCTCTGGAGAAGGAGGTAACAGTGAAGGGAACTGTTACTTCCAGGTGTGTGTTATTTTTCTGATAGTTTTTATTTTTAAACTACTTCTATGGGGAAACAACATATGTGTCCTAAAGCTGTTCGCCTCTCTCACCTCTTCTTTCCGTTCTTTTTCCAATTTTTTTTGTTTGCAGTCAATATTGATCAAGTTTCTCACGAAGGCTCTTCATTCACTTAATTCCACTAAAAGTGAGTGGAGAGATTATTTTCTTTTTTTATGAGAGGAAGGGGAATTGTAGCCTTTATCAGATGAGATAGGGCAGTAGAACTCGGGGATTCCCTGGCTGCAGGAGTTAGCAGGAGAGAATAGGAATGCTCTCCAGCAAAGCATTATAACATGCCTCAAAATTAGGCTGCTTTTTCAGCTTTGTAAATCACTTTGAGTTCAAAAAGGTGAAGACAGAGTTTTGAAGGTGTCACTTTGAGCATCCCTCTTTGGGAGAAGAGAGGAACATCTTTCTCCTTGTGTGATGCCCACAGGTTATGTCTGTGGGATGGAGACAGTAACTCTGCCCAACCACGTCACTGCATAATTTGCTTATGTAGTGGTGCAGGAGATAGGGAAGGACTTGGCTTTTTAAGGAGGGCTAAAAACAGGCATTTCTGGTYAGGAGGGTGTTGAGACATTTTCAGAGCCGGACAATTGTCCATTGTGCCCTTACTGTGTAAATATAACATTAACAGAAACCGTACCTACCTGACAGAAATATGTCCCTTGGGCCTGCTTCCAGGGATTGTTTAATCCATCTCTGAGGTGGCACCTCACCCTGGTCCTGCACTGGAATGTGTCACTGTGATATCAGTTGTTGACTTTTGGAAATTACTCCATTCCAGCTCCTCCCTGCTGCCTGTATCCACAGGAGGGCTTGGTGATGGATTCTGTACATGTTAGTTTGGAGGAGCTGCTTGGCTGGAAATGCCCAGAAACGTGAGCTGGCCAGACAAGGGATCTGCCTGGGTCTAGGGCAGAGTGTGAAGGGAAGCAAGTACAGGTCAGCTTTCCTGGGGGAAATCAGGAAGAGACACTGCCTTGAGCCTTGGGAGAGAACCCTTCCCATTCATTTAGAGCACTGCACGTTCCTTTCCTTGAAGGTAACGCCGTGCCACTGCAATGCCCTGTGAGGAGTGCTGGTATGTGTGACATAAACAGATTACTTAATAACCGATTTTGCAAGAGGGGAAAAGTAAAGCTCCACCTTATCCTGCGAGATAAGGTATTCTTGGCTCTCTAAGTGTAACTTCCCCCAGGCTCGCTGCCGCCCTGACTCCCTGGTGGGGTGGARGGTGCTGGATTTCAGCTCCATTTCAGCAAAGCCTGAGAAGAACACAGAAGAACACATTTCCTTGTGTTAGGAAATGTGCAGCAGCAACCTGTAATACCTTCCAAATGATGGACAAAGTAAACGTTCCGACAGCATCTCACACAGCACTGCTGTAGCAGTAAATTCAGGGGAAACTTTTCCTGGGTCATCTTATCATTGTGGCTTTTACTGTTGTGCTGCTAACTCTGCAGAGATGCTAACCCAAGGATTTTGTAACAATGTTCCATAACTACTTGTTCCATTTTAGCACTTTCCTCCTCCTTGCTTTCTATTCTCGACCCGGTTGTGTCACTGCACTTTGCTGGTAGAAAGCTGTGTGATGCCATAAGCCCAAGATTAGTCCTTGGTGGTTGGATCAATGAGGAGAGAGGTTACAGGGGCAGAGATAACTGTGAATATCTTTACCTGTATTAAAAATAGGCCAACGGTAGGAGAAATGAGCTGTTTTTGCACATTTACTTTGATTTCTTTTTCTCCTCTCATCCCTGCTGTTTTTGATCCGTGACTGTAAGCAGACCCTCCTCCATTTTCAGAAGTAGCCAGAAGACCTGTTTCACATCAGAGTCTTTAATTGCTTCTAAAATAAATGTGATTAAGAAATTAATCRGGTACAATCTGATCACCGAATGTGCTCCTTAATATTCTTTGGTACCTTTAACTTATGTRTAGGGACAAACCAGGCTGTGTTTTGCTTCAGTAATAGTGAACTGGGCTTGAGTTGTGCAAAAGCCAAACTCAGAAGACTCACCAGTGGTGAGAAGTTTTTGTGCCAATGTGTGCTGAGTGCGAGGTGAAGGAAGGAATTTTCATACCATTCTGACTATAAATGTTTTCTTCCCCACCTCCAGTCAGATTAGAACCACAGAATCATTTATGTTAGAACAGGTCTTTAAGATCAAGTCCAACTTAGTCATCATACCACAGCTCTTAATTCTSCTGGAGCAGAGTCTAAATCCTACCTGCATCTATGAACAAGTACAGCTTGGTACTCAATTCATTCAGTYGTGGTAATTAATGAGATGGAAATAGGAGATTTTCTGCCAAAATCGGTTCTCTTGAGTGGTGATTTGGARGATTTGGGAATGAGACATAATTTTAAAGGATGCCAGAAAATYCAAAGGTACCATGCTTCCCAAGAGCTAAATCCAATAGTCCAGAACAGATCCTCTTCTCCTCCCTGTTCCCTGGAGCACTGCGTTCTTCAAGTCTTCCTTTYCTTTCCATGGAAGCCAAACAGTTCTGGCCAAATTA